GTAGGAATTATCAAGAAGTACAAATAAAATTAAGCAATTTAAAAAATAAAATGCAATTATTTATTTCATGAAAAATTAAAAGTGAAAAAGGAGCAATCAAAATATGCTGCAGTGCTCAGTTGTGGATAATATTTGCATTGGCAAAATCATGTAAACATTGCATTTTGACTTAATCCCCATTTGTAATATAACTACATCAGGAGGATAGGGTAAGAGAATGGTGGTGTAACAACTAAGCTTTCATCTATAAAGAGAAAATCAATTGACAAGGTTTAAAATTGATGAATTAAAGATAGCAATATTGCAAAAACTAGAAATATTGAAATGTGCTGTTGCCAGAAGAAACAGTTAAATGGGCAAAAAAGAATTGCCCCTAGTGAGGGGACCTGGAGTGAGTGAGAAGAGAAGAAAGATGGGCTACTGACTCTTTCTGTTAGAAGTTTTTTAGTTCTTTTAGACCTTTTTAAGTACTTTAATAAAAAATATAATTTTTATAGTCCTTTTGGGGTAAAAAATTGTTTTAATGTCACTAAAATAAAAAATTATGAGTGTCAAAGGAACCTGAAAAATATGCTTGCCTTAAATAGAAAAAGTTCTCATTAAACTGATTTTTAACAGTCTTTATCAGATATCAAACCAGCAACGATATTACTTAGACAAAACCAATTTTAGTTATTTCTTTTAATTCAGTAACTACTGTTGGAAAACTTCAAATTTTGAAATCAAAAGGCATGATAAAGAACAGAAAGAAAATTGCTGATTTCAGTTTTTTTCTTTCTTTTTATTCCCAGATGACTTGGACTGACAATGGAAGGGGTCTACTTGCACGGGAAATGGGTCAAGCATCCAGGCCCCCAAATAGTCTCCTGAACAGTGTGTGAGTGAATACTTGTCTAATATCTTAATTAAAAGGGCCCTGAAGAGGTTCTTGCCAGGACAAAGGGAATCTGCTCTAACACTGAACAGATGTTTCCTTCTCTAGGGCCTGAAATCCATGAGCAACTCATAAATGGCACATTCTAGGCTTCCTGTTAAACCTGGGTCTAACTGTGATAGCAGCTCTTTTCCTACAAGTAGGAGCCAGCAAGCCCTGGAAGGGACTACCACCCAACAATACTAGGTCCGAGTGGTGATAATCATCTTTATAAATAATCACACTGAGTCTGGCTTCTTTGGCAGAGGGGAGCCCTGGAACTTGCAGAAAAAGTAGAGGGCCTAGGAAACTCCTGCTGATATCAGTGTCGGTGGACATAGAGAGCCTCAGATTTTCTTTTCTTTTTTTTTTTTTTTTGGATTTACCTGCGGGAAGGAAGTGTGGTCACTTGGGAGAAATACAGTTTCTAGACAGCAGAGTGATTCTGGCTTTACTAGGAGACAGCTCTTCTTCCCTCTGGGTCTGAGAACATTGACCAGTAGACAACATCTGTCCAAACTCCCTGGGAGGGAAACATGGGGCAGGTATGGGGCACCTTAGAGAAAGACTAGGCCAGGCTGGCCACAGAGGTCGAAAGTGGAGTGGGGAGAACAGATTCTTGAGAAGATAGTCAGGTCATGGGTCTTTAGGTAGGAGAGGCCAACTTCTGGGAGTACTTTAGGCAGAGGGTAGCAGGTTATTGATATGCTACTGCATGTATAGCTGTCGGGGTGGCCAGTGGAGTCACTGGGTCCCCCACAGGGAAGTATGTCAGTAACATTCACATACAATGGTACAGACTTGAGAGGATAAGCATACTGAACAAAGCTGCTCCTTCATAGACGACTGCCTCATCTAGCGGTGACACAGCTGCCTGGAATTCCACCAGAAAACAAAATACCCCTTTCTAGAAATGCAAACCCAAATCACAATGAGATATCACATTGTACCTGTTAGAATGATTACCATAAAAAGGACAAGAAATCAGTGTTGGCAAGGATGTGAAGAAAGGAGAACCCTTGTGCACTGTTGGTGGGAATGTAAATTGATATAGACACTTTGGAAGACAGTATGGAGTTTCCTCAAAACATTAGAAGTAGAATTTCCATATGGTTAAGCAATTCCCCTCTTCTGGTATACAGTTGAAGGAAATGAAATCACTATCTTGGGATACCTGCATTCCTTTGTTCATTGCAGCATTACAATAGAGAAGACGTATAAACAATGTTCATTAACAGATGAATAAAGAAAATGCGGCATAGGTAATGGAATATTATTCAACTATAAAAAGAGAAAACCCTGCCATTTGCTACAACATGGCAAATGCCCTTGAGAGCATTATGCTAAGTAAAATAAGTCAGACAGAGACATACTGTATAATCTCACTTATATGTGGAATCTAAAAAAACTGAACTCATAGAAACAGAACAGATTGTTAGTCGGCAGAGGTGGGGGTTGAGGGTGTGGGGGAAATAGACGAAGGTGGTCAAAGGGTACAAACTTCTAGTTAAAACAAATAAATTCTGGGTGTGTAATGTGTAGCCTTGTGATTACAGTTAACAATACTGCATTGTGTGTGAAAGTTGTCAAAACAATAGTAGATCTGAAAAGTTCTCATTGTAAGAAAATATAACTATGTATGGTGATGGATGTTAACTAAACCTATTGTGGTGATCATTTTACAATATATACATATACAGTGAACAAATGTAGACCTAGTTTATGCACGTATACATATATCAAATTAGTTAAAGAATGTTATGTCATTCTCTTAATAAAAGTAAGACTTGACAGCAGAAGCCCTAAGAAAGTGCGGGTACATCATCAGCCCTAATTCTGTCATCCTGGCAAAATCATTAGTTTGGAAGGCTTGGTGGGTTAGGAGCTATGCTAACAGTCCCTCCCCATCCAGAGAAGATCTACAAATATTATTGGTAGCATTTCATGCTGGGTGGGGTCGTTGAGTAGGTGCCTTACTTAATGCTGCTAGAAGGTTCAATAAACTTTGAGCAACAGAATCCGATGCCAGAAGACTCCTTTCTTTCTGGCACAAAGAGAAAGGGGCCCCAAAGAGTTCTGCTTCCTTTCCCCAAATGGGGAGCTTAGAATACAGTTGCATCTGAAGGAGAGAGGGTTGGTATCTGGGTGGCTGATAAACTGTCTTGATTGCTGCAGAGGCTATGATAATGCTGAAGGGCTTGGTGTTGGTGGTAGGGTAGCCTAGGGAATATTGGTTTCTGGCTGAATCCAGCATTGTTAGTATTCCTGCCACCTGAGGACACTGTTGGAAAAGAGAAAGTGGTGGGGATCATTGGAGATCAAGGGTGCTCCGGAATTAGCTAGCACAGGTCAAAGTGGCAGCAAGCAGAGCAAACAGAAATTAGCATGTTTTCTGAAACAAAGGGGTTATATAAGACATGCAAATCAGAGGTGGGCCTTAAGAGAGTCCCTTGAAACATTGGTACAATTCCACAGAAGATGCCTTTGTCTGGGAATAGGCTTATTAAGGGCTGAGAGCCAATTCCTGGATACACCTGCAAGGTAGAGAGCGGAGGGGCCTGCTCCTCATTTCCAGATCCCATCTCACAGAGGGACTGGATTTGACAGTGATGGGAGCCTGAGTCCTCACCTAAGAAAGGGAGCATCAGTCTGAGAGGACACAAGTGACCCTGGCAGCAGGGTCTGGATCTAGGCCAAGAGTCTGGCGATATGGATGGGGACCAAAGTGGTTAAGGGCTCAAGGAGAAAATCAATTTGACAAACTGGTCACACATGGAGGGCAGGGGGTCCTGGGGCTCACGAACAGGAACTGAATCTACTCCAAAGGGAAGAGCACCAACGAGGCACTGACATAGAAAACATTTCTTCGGGATTGTTAAGTCCCCAGTGAACGGTGAACAAATGTGGACCTAGTTTATGCAGGTATACGATGAACAAGTATTCATTTTGTTGTTGCTACTGTTATTGTTTCCCTTGAATCACTTCCTTAGAAGAAGTGAGACCTGTAACCCCTATGAATCCAGAGGCTCTCCTGAATCAGCCCAGACCCATGAGGCCCTTCCTAATACGAATTCTAATCTTTACTCATGTCGCTCATAATCCCCACTAATTCATGGTAACTTTTATTTGAATCTTGTGTTTTCTCTTATTTTCTAGCACTCCCAAACTTCTGGGAGTATCTCGTCTTCCTATGCTAGACAACTCCTTTCTCAAACATGCGCCCCAGCTCACTGCTATGTGCTCCCCCTGTACTATATGCGTCCACTGCCACAGACACCCTGAGGATTGTGGTTGTCTTCCTCTGAGTTGCCTTTTCATTCCTCTCGCCCTAGGAATCTCTCTGGTTCTGAGTCTCTCGGCCTAATACAGGAATCACAGAAGTGCAGAAACCCTTCTGACTTGATCTAGAATTTCCATAGAAAGTAGGTGAGGGGAAGAGGAAAGGGAGGGACAGGTTTACTGAACAATTTCTACAGAGTCGTTTTCCCAACTAATACTAGTTTTTCATGAGTAACAAAAAGGAACAAACCTTAAATTTATTCCTTACTGTTCCATTCACATAAGTGACCTGAGGTCTCCATTCGGGTAATGCGCACCCATGGAGGAATGTGTGCTTGCATATGTACAGCATGGGGCAAAAGTAGGTTTACAGTTGTGAGTACACAGAGCAGAATTTATTCTTGTATTGTTATTGTAATTATTGTATTTTCCATATGAACAACTGTAGACCTACTTTTGCCTGCCTCTGTATACCAGTATTTACTCTCACATGTGGCCAATTCTCCATGGCCAAAGAGCTCATCACCTTCTCCAGCCTGGGAGCCTCACTGCTCTAGATTCCTGCTGATTCTCCTCCAAAAAGTGAGTGGGAGACAGGTGTGCTTCTGAATTCTCATGTGGGTGGCAGAGGCAGTCACTTTGGGGAATGCATAGATTATAGCCAGTGTCCCTCCTTTTAGGAGACAATATTCAGAACTATTTTTCCTAAAAATTGAAGTTCTGAGCTACTTGCTTTATTCAGATATCTCTTGCAACTGTGTTTTATTGTTGTTAGTACAATTTAGACCATAATTAAATAGAAATTTACCTTTGAGATAGTTACCAATGAGCTTTACATTAACTTTTACATTCTTCGCAGTTGGATCAAAGGCACAAATACTCTCAACTAAGTGTTTGTTAAAGTACTGTGAATAAAGAACAAAAATTATGGGATCACCAGCGAGTGGAACTAGAGTACCCAATTCACCAGTTTGTATAATTTCATTTATATAAATTAGAAAACAGGCAAAACCAACGTATGGTTTAGAAGTCAGACTTCTGGTCACCCTAGGTGTGTGTATGTGGGGGGAGAGGGAGTCATGGGAGAGAGTACAAAGGAGGGCTTTTGAGATGCCCCTAGGATCTGTTTCTTAATTTAGGTGGTTACAAATGTTCATTGTGTAAAAATCCTTGCATTTGTACACTTATGATTCATGCAATTATGATTTGCATGCCTAAACTTGTGTGGGTTATTTTTTCAATAAAAAGAATACTTAAAAAGAACTTACCAGTTTACATTTATCCCAAATTTCTAATTCATGTGATGATTCCAACTCTGGATGAATGAACAAGATAACCGCTGTCAGGATTTCAGGTACTAGTTTTGCATTGGCTTCCAACTCGTGTAACTGGCTGGCTGTCAGAGATTTATTTGACTGTATTGCAGAACGGTAATCATAGAGCAACAGTGATACAAAGTCCATGGAGGTAAGCTGCCGAAGGCTTTTCTGCAGCTCTTGCAGCATGATTCGGAAGAAGAGAACTCCTGCCTGCTGGACTTCTCCTGCATTTTCAATCTCTGGAATAACAGAATTATATCCCACATGGTTGTTTATACATACATTATATTTTTCAGAGGATTCTGAGCATAATATAATAAACTTCTTTTAGAAAAAAGATCATATCTTACAGTTTTAAACAATCTTAGTTTTTCTAGTCATGAAATAAAAAAGCAGAAATGAAACTACACCTGGTAAAATGCACAGGAAGAGGCTTTGAGGAAAGGTGAAAGGAAACTCGTGTTTTGACATTAGATCTTAGTTTGAATATCTACTCTCCCCCTTATTCTTTTGTCTCTCTGAACCTCCTCTTCCTTTTCTGTGAGAATGGGATTGATTCCTACTTCTCTGGTGAGTGTGGACATTAAATGAGTTGATATAATCAGGCCAGAATGGAATGGAATTAAATATACAAAGTTATGCAAAGCAAGGGACTGAACCCAAGAATACTATACCCAACAAGGCTATCATTCAAAATTGAAGGTAAAATCAGGAGCTTCACAGACAAAAAAAGGGCTAAGGGAGTTTATTATCACCAAGCCAGCAATGCAAGAAATGCTAAAGGGACTTCTGTGAAAAGAAGAAATAGAAAGGGAAGAAGGAACGCAGGTATAAAGAATAAAAATGGCGACAAGTACCTATCAATAATAGCCTTAAATGTAAATGGGTTAAATGCTCCAATCAAAAGACATAGAGTACTGAATGGATAAGAAAACATGACCCATATATTTGCTGTGTACAAGAGACCCACCTCAGAACAAAGGACTCACACAGATGGATAGTGAAGGGATGAAAAAAAGTTTTTCAGGCAAATTGAAATGGAAGAAAAGCTGGGGCAACAATACTTTTATCTGACAAAATAGACCTCAAAGTGAAGGCCATAACAAGAGATAAAGAGGGCGACTTCATAATACTAAAGGCAGCAATTCAACAAGAGTATATAACTCTAGTAAACATATATGCACCCAATACAGGAGCACCCAAATACATAAAAAAACTTCTGGAAGATATCAAGGAAGAGACCAACACCAATACAGTCATAGTAGGGGACTTTACTATCCCATTGACACCACTGGATAAATCCTCTAAACAAAAAATCAGCAATCCTAAATGACTCACTAGATCAGATGGAATTAATTGACATCTTCAGAACATTTCACCCCAAAGCTACAGAATATACATTCAAGTGCACATGGGACATTTTCAAAGATAGACCACATATTAGGACTTAGGACATAGGCAAAGTCTCTTCAAATTCAAGAAGATAGAAATCATATCAAGCATATTCTCAGATCACAATGGCATATAATTAGAAATCAACTACAAAATAAGACAATGAAAAAAATCAAAAATTTGGAGGCTAAATAGCATGCTATTAAACAGTGATTGGGTTATCATTATAAAAGAGATCAAAGAAGAAATAAAAAGCATCCTGGTAACAAATGACAATGAAAAGACAACAATCCAAAATCTATGGTACAAAGTGAAAGCAGACCTGAGAGGAAAGTTCATAGCTCTACAGGCCTACCTCAAAAAAAACAAGAAAAAATGGTAATAAATTATCTAACCCTACAACTTAAAGAATTTGAAAGAGAGCAACAAGAAAAGCCCAGAGTAAGCAGGAAGAAGGAAATAACAAAGATCAGAGCGGAAATCAACGACATAGAGACCACCCCCCCCCAAAAAAACAATACAAAAGATCAATATACAACCAAGAGCTGGTCCTTTGAAAGGATAAACAAGATTGATGAACCTCTAGCCAGGCTCACCAAGAAACAGAGAGGACCCAAATAAACAAAATCAGAAATGAAAGAGGTGAAGTAACAACCAACCCCATAGAAATACAAAAGATTGTAAAAAAAAATACTACGAACAACTCTACTCCAACAAACTGGACAACCTAGATGAAATAGACATATTCTTAGAAAAATACAAGTTTCCAAAACTCAATCAGGAAGAACCAAAAAACATGTATAGGCAAATAACTACCAATGAAATTGAAGCAGTAGTAAAAAATCTTCCAGCAAACTAAAGCCCTGGTCCAGATGGTTTCAGCAGCATGGATGGACCTGGAGAGCATTATGCTAAGCGAAATAAGTCAGTCAGAGAAAGATAAATATTACATGATCTTACTCATTTGTGGGATATAAGAACCACATAAACTGATGAACAAAAATAGATCCAGAGACAAAGAAGCATCGAACAGCCCGTCAAAGCTCAGAGGGAAGTCAGGGGATGGTGGGGCGGGGGGGGGGGGGATAAGAGATCAACCAAAGGACTACTATGCATGCATATAAGCATAACCAATGGACACCAACCCTGGGACGGTGGGGGTATGTCCTGGAGGGTGGGAGTGGCCGGGGAGGGGTTGATGGGGGAAAAAGGAGACATATGTAATACTTTAAACAAAAATAAGTGCACATCCAAATGATATTTGTAAGTCTTTTATCTTTGTTACCACATGATTAAAGAAATGAAGCATGGAAAAAAAGTTGATATATGTAAAAGTGCTTAATCTTGGCCTTATACATAGTGAACACTCACAAGACATGAATTTTCTTCTTTTTTCTTTCTTCATATCCCTCCCCACCCTATGTAATGGCTAAAAAACTGTTAGCTTAATTATACACGTGTTACTCTTTTCTTTTCGTTCACTCTCTTCTAGGTAGTCAAAGGTTTCCATGCTTCCTTCTTCCTCCCTTCTGCCCAAACTGTATCAGGAGTAGCCTAATGGATATGGAATCACAAGGATTGAGGTCCGGTCTTGGCTCTGTCCCTAGCTTGCTACTGGACCTTTACTCTGATGGGCTTTAGCTTCTTTATCTGTAAAATCAGATGCTCTGATGACTTAACGCTATGTAATATAGTGGAAAGAGCACCCAAACTTGAGTGTAAATCCAGTCTCCACCACTTGCTAACTGTGATTTGGTGCAAGTTGTTTTGTTTCTTTAAACTTTGCCTTTCTCACCTATAAGATGAGGCATCACCATTCACCTCATAGAGTTATGGTCAGGACTAATTGAAATAGCATATTTAAAGTGCTTGGTATATGATGGGGCATTTAATAAATGCTAGTTCTATATTGCCTTTAGGAGGCTTTCTAATTCTAAAATGTGATTCTAGCCAAGAAAATGCAATTCCTTACCCTTTACTCTAATTTATAGCTCATACTCATCAGTCCAAGACTGCATGAGGGGATTTCTTTCATGAGGAAAATCTGTATATTGCAACAACTCATTTTAGAAAACATCCTTCATTGCATTGCCTGTGATTTCCCCAAAACTAATTAAACCCATAAATTTAGACTGTCACCGCATTCACAATACCTAAGACACGATTCTTCTCTTTTTCTCCAGATAACTCGTCCAGTATTTCATAGCAGGCAGCTTGGGTCACCTTCACCATTTTCTGTAGATCTTTAAATTCTCGATACAACAACATCTTCCTCTTGCCAATGTTAAAATCGAGAGCCCCCAGAGCCTCTCCTGTTCTCTCACGAAGTGGAATTGCGATGTGGTTTTCTCCACAGACAGAGGCCAAAAGAACTTCTGAACTGTCTATACACTTAAAAAGGAAATCCCTGAAATCAAAACCAAATAAGCATAAGGGTATCGAAGATCAGCCTGTTCATAACATTCCACCCAAACATACTGAATCACTCTCTTTTGTGCCTACTACACTTCAGCCCACCAGCTCTTGTTGCTACTTCATCTGCCTGGACCACTTCATCTCTTGATTTCACAGAGCTCTCCCTCAGCTCACTCACTCATCTCCTCTTAGAGAAGCCTTCCCTACCCGTGTAATCTAAAGTAGTAGCGCCTGAGTCACGCTCCCTCATGTTATTCTGCTTTATTGTCTTTACTGGACTTATACTTATCTGAAAAGTATTCAATTTTTGTTTGTTTACATGTTGTCCAGGAAGTATTGGAGGAATGCCTGAAGGAATGATGCGTGTTAGGTTCTCTAGAAGCAGCACACGAGACAGGGAAATGATTTATTAAGGGAATGCTCTCAGGAGAAACCTGTGAAGGTCTAAGGAAAGCAGGAGAGGGAAGGGGGGGAAAGCTACATAAGAATGTGATTTCAGGTAAAGTCTAACCTTAGCCTGATCCCAAGGGGAGCTCTGGGAAGCAAACTGTCAACGTCTGTCCCACCTGGATGCAAGGAAGAGGTCTTTGTCAGTGGTTGGCTCTGAGTTGCTCTGTGGGTGGGGAAGAGTGTTTACATAACTGGTAGGCACCTCCTGGTGAGAAGCTCCCATTTCTCAAGGGCACTCCTCCTGAGAAAGCTACAGTGTGAGTCATTAGCAGTAGCACTTGCAGCAGCTGGCAAAACATACATGGGGGATCTGGGCTGGGCATCAACAGCATCTGCTTCAGTGAGAGACTAGAGGTTTTCACAGAAATGCAGTGGCATAGTGAGGTATGGACAAATCTCTTTTTATCTCCTTTCCTCTTTCCCCATCTACATTGGGATGTCATTCTTTTGAGGTATTTGTAAAAATGTTGGTGCTTTGCATTGCCTCCAAAAAAAAAAGAAGCACATTTACAGTTTATAATACCAATCCTATAATGACAGGTAAGATTCTGTCTTTTGCTACTCCCACCACTGTGTGACTCTATAACAATAGTAATGATGCATCATGCTAAACTGATGCATCATTAAATGAGTCTGGGTGTTACAAAGACTCCCCTAAAACTCTTGAACACCACAAGGAATAATTATGTGAATAGAAATAGAAATAATAATAGAAAAAGTTTCTAACTTAATGAACATTCTGGTACTAAAATTTAATTAAATAGGTACTTAAATATCAACTTAGCCTTCAGGCTAAGATAGGTTATTGGCTACTCAGCTACACTGACCCTCCCCAAGAAGCAGTCAGCCCCCTCTTGCAATAGGAGTGTTCTCAGTAAAGATGTTTTGCATCTGTCCACAGTTTAATAGTGTTCCTGTATTCCACAGGTGAGAGGCAGTTGAAGTAACCCGGAACTGGGTATTTATTGAAGATAACATTCTTTGATTCCTGTCCTCTTTTGCCCAGCCTGTCTTCTTTAAATAAAATATACTTGTTCACAAGCTGGCTAATATTAAGATGAGGAATTTTGATAAGTGGTGTAGATGTACTTGTCATAATCATAGTGGGTTTTATTTAATTCCTTGTTTACAAGAAAATCATAGAAATAAAAGACTATCATGCTTAACAACATGCAATTTTAATATAAAACACCAATGAGATTTGTTTTAAAAAGGACTTGAGGGGGAAAGGAGTTCATATGACCCATGCAGTCAGGAAGTTGTTTCTAAAATCCAATCAGAATGAGATTCACTGTATACTAATAGGAGGCAAAAGCTGTGTCTTCAGATCTATCACACCCGGCTGTGTGCTCTGGCAAGTAAACAAAACAGACATGAAGATGCCTCTCATACCTGAAGATGTGTGTCTTCCTGAAGATGGTAGGGGGATTTTTGTGGATTTCTGTTAGACCTAGGGGCCCTGTGACCATCATATTGCGTAAAACATAGTCTGAACCCTTGAAAAGAGGAAGACATTTCATTATGGAGAAGAACAATTAGACTTCATATTCTCATTAAAGCTTTTGGGGACAGATAAGTAGGAAAAAATTAGAAAAGCTTAGATGATTTCTAGTTTTAAGTACAGTGACATTTTACTTACTCAGTACCATTAAGGAATGAGGTGTTCCACAAGAGAAAAATGTCAAAATATGAGACTTATTTAAATCCAAAAGCATATTTTTAAAAATAACTGTGATAAAATGCCGTGTTTATATTATTTTTCTGATGTTACAAGTGCACTGTAGAAAAGTTCCCTATCCCAGGCACTTCTCAGGATAGGTCAAAATGAGTTTTCTTTCTTGGGTTTTCCAAATTGGAACAGAAAGGAAAGATTCTTTTCAAGCTACTAAGCAGCTGGCTTTGCCTTGTGGAAAAAGCCCATCTTTAGCTGGAAGTACAAAGCCAGAGTGCAGAGGGAAGCAACATGAGAACTGGGGAGAGAAAGAACCTGAGAGAGCCTGATGGCATTGAATCCCTGGATCTGGTCATCTTGGAAGCCACCTTGATGTCTATCCTTTCTTCATTTCGGTCACATGAGTCAAGCAATTCCCCTTTTTGCCTAAGGCAGTATGAGATGTATTCCTGCCGCTCAACTGTGGACAGTTTGAGTGCGTGTCATGGGAACTATGTCCCCAGTTAGCCTAATAGCTAACTAAATATGGTTTTAAAATATCAGCAAGACAATAACATCTAGAAACTCTGTTGCCCTGGGAAGGTCTAACACTGCCCAGCCTTGCCTACCTGCTCTGGGCTAGGCTCAATGAAGTATGTAGAGATGGCGTTAATGTCTGGTATGATGTTGTAGAGCCAGCTGATGCCAGTGATCACAACGTGCAGGATGTGCTCCCGGCTGTGGACATAGTGATAGGCAGTGCTGAAGACATTGGCAACACCCTGTAGAGACAGAATATTTTAATTGCCTTTTCTTTTTAAAATAGCAAAATAATTAGTAATGTATCCATTGGATTATCTTTTTCACTAATGATGATCTATTTCCTACAAATTACTTCTCAAAAGGCAGTGCTCTGGCTTCTACTATGAAAAAAAGAATCATCAAGAAGTCAGAGGTGTAAAAAGAAATCTTCCATAAGATCCACATAGCTTATATGTTTCCTGATAATCATCCAGTGAAATTTGTGATATGTGCAATCAGAAAATAGTGTCAGAAGAACAAAATAAAATTTGAAATGAGAAAAAAATGTTTAAAAGCCAAGATGAATGCCCGCCTTGGGCAGATGGGTAGGAGTGCCCTGATCTGATGCAATATTAATGTCTGTATCTTTACATGGCTACTGTCATCAGATCAGCAGAACAGGATGTGCTGGGTTCCAAAGTTTGCAACATGTACAGTCTTCTTATGGGCACAAAATGATCCTGTTCCATAGAGAAACAATGGGAAGTCCTTAGTACTCATCTGTGGTCTTGTTGTCAAGAAACTCTAGGAACCACAAAGTCTTAAAAAATATATGTAGATGGTGTGGCTCCGTGGTTGAGTGTCAATCCACAAAACGAGGTCACGGATGATTCCCAGTCAGGGCACATGCTTGGGTTTCAGGCTGGATCCCTAGTGTGAGGTGTGCAGGAGGCAGCTGACTGATGAGTCTAATCAATGATTCTCTCTCATCATTGATGTTTCTATCTCTCTCTCTCTCTCCCTTCATCTTTCTGAAGTAAATAAAAACATATTTAAAAAATATATATGCCTGTCTGGCATAGCTCAGTGGTTGAGTGTCGACCTATGAACCAGGAGGTCACGGTTTGATTCCCAGTCAGGGCATATGCCTGGGTTGTGGGCTTGATCTCTACCTAGTGTGGGGCGTGCAGGAGGCATTAATCAATGATTCTCTCTCATCATTGATGTTTCTATCTCTCTCTCCCTCCCCCTTCTCTCTGAAATCGATAAAAATAGATTTAAAATATGTATATATGTACTTTATATTAGGACCCAAGGCATCTAAAGTAATAATACAGGTGCCTTTACCTCCAAGGACTAGAGAATCTATTTATAATTCATTTTGACATGTTCTCTAACAAGGCTGTGTATTAGTTCACCTACTGATAACTCCATACTCCTCCATTTTGCTTCTAAATATCTTCATATCATTATGTCAAATGAAAATGAATCTTATTCTTTAAAAGATGTCCAGAGAAAAAAGATTCTACCACTTTCCAGTTACCCAGTAAGTGGGAAGAGAAATTTTAAAATAATGGTAAATAGATATGAAGAGCCAGGGGCTTACAGGGAAACAAATGATAAGGGCAGAGCAAGTTCCCGATTGCCTTAAAGGCTTTCAATCTTCCTCCATTGCAATTTTCATTCATAAATTTAAATGTTTGTAGAAATGATCCAGTTATTGTATAGTTTTAAAAATGCCTAAAACTTAAGCATTTTTCTTCATTCTTTATCCTCAAAAATTATAATACTGATATCAAGAGCTATGGGATCACATATCATATTTAGCACCATTTGTAGAAAGAGCAAAGGATTTCTAGGTTTCACTATTAATAAAACATAAATATGTTCTTTCTGAAAGTTCATTCTGACTATGTGGGTCTTAATGGTCTAATAGTTGGAATTTGGTTCTACAGTATAAAATTCTGTTTCTGTGGTTAATGCAATGGGACACATTAATAATCTCCCCAGAGATTCTGAAGCATAGTCGTGCAACTGAAGCTGACAGTTCTTCCATGTGTAATGCGTAACCTCTCAAAATACTGACACATATACACAGGGAACTGGAACCATATGACAACCCTACCTACATATATAGCTCTACCCTCATCTAGTTTCAGGTTTTGCTTTGTAAAAAGTATAAAAGGAGAAGCCATCCTACCATTGCTATGGAAGAATCCTTCTCTGACTTACCTGATAGAATCTGATCTCATGAGGCAAGAAGATGTTTATTTTCTGGGGATCTCTTAGTGTGTCAACAGCCAGGACCCCAAAGATCCTCATATATGCATTCTGAAGAGGCAGAGCCAAGAATGATCCATTTTTCTCATTCTCCTTGCGGGAATCATTCCAGAAGAAAATGTTCCCATGGTGCTGAACTTGAGGGACATGTACTGGCTTCCCTTTATCTATTACTGTAAAGCTAAGGAATAGGAATAGGAATAGGAGGATGAGAGAAAGGCACAGGAGGAGCTTTAGGTTAAACCATGTAGAAACTAGACCAACTCTCCATTCATAACCATTGGCATTACATGTCAGAGAAGTGGACTCATAAAATTACCAGTTTGGAGAGTCTGACTTGGAAGAAAGATTTAAAAAACAAGCTTAAATCATAACAGAGAAAACATATATAATCAGGATGCAGGAGACATACTTTAAAGAGAAGGCAGAAATAATTGAGCTGATATTGTAAAGCAGAACCCCTACATGGCCAATCAATGCCTAAGTAAACTCCAGAAATGATCAAGTGAAATCACCTGAGACTGGAAACCAATCATCTCCACTCTAGAAGCATTGGTGACCTGAGGCATTTCTCTCTTGGGCAGCTAGCTAGGATTTCAATGCTAATTTACTTCAGAAAGGGAATTATTATTTTTTCAAAGAAGGATGAAATTGCCGGGCTGGTGTGGCTCAGCAGTTGAGCATTGACCCAGGAAACAAGAGGTCCCTGGTTCGATTCCTGGTCAGGGCACATGCCAAGGTTGTGGGCTCAATTCCCAGTAGGGGGCATGCAGGAGCCAGCTGATGGATGATGATGTTCCTCTCTCGTCAATGTTTCTCTCTCTCTATTCATCTCCCTTCCTCTCTCTAAAAATCAACCAAAACATATTTTTTAAAAAGGAGGGTAAAATGAACTTTTTCAAGAAATTCTTACCTGATTCCCTTCATGTCCCTGTAGAGCACTTTGTTCAGTACAAATGGAGCATCATCTAAAGTACAAGCTACATTCCTTAATAGAACAGCCCCTCTATGAGGCAGTAGTCGGTTTTCTTCTAAGAGGGAAATGTGAGCACTGATCTTCTTATTTCCATGGACTTGAGCATCCTATGGCAAAATGTTGCTGATGATGTATTTGCCAATAGCCATTCTCTTAATCACATCTTCCTTCATTAGCCAGTTTGTGCCTTTGACCCCAATAATTTCATTTTCATGAATAAATCATTAAGATATTACTATTCATGGGCAGTGAAGAAAAGTATACACTGACTCCACAGCTGTCCCCCAAACCTAAATTTTAGTGAGTGTAATGGATTTACTTTAGGCCAATTAGACTGGTTTACTAAAAATAAGTAAGTAAGTAAATAAATAAATAAATCTCAAAGTCTACTCAAATTTAGAGGTTTAAAACTTGGATCCCATCCAGCTGGCGTGGCTCAGTGGTTGAGCGTTGACTTATGAACCAGGTGGTCATGGTTCGATTCCCAGTCAGGGCACATGCCCAGGTTGCAGGCTCAGTCCTCAGTGTTGGGTATGCAGGAGGCAGCGGATCAATGATTCTCTCTCATCCCTTTCTCCCTCTCCCTTCCTCTCTGAAGTCAATAAAAAATAAAATAAAATAAAAATACTACTTGGATCCCTTTGGCCCTGGTAGGTAGCTCAGGCAAGCATGTCAAACTCGTGGCCGGTGGGCCACATGCCTGCAGCCGGCCCTCTGGCTGTGAGTTTGACATGCTTGGGTTAGAGTGTTGTCCTGATATGCCAAGGTTGTGGGTTCAGCCCCTGGTCAGTGCACATGCAAGAATCAGCCAGTGAATAAATAAGCGGAACAACAAAACCTATGTGTGTGTTTTTTTCTTTCCCTTCCTTTCTCTCTCTCAAACCAATATACATATTTTTAAAAACTTATATCCCTTTGAACTATAGTCAGATTGTTTGGTATTCCATTAAAAGTATTTATTTTAGAGAGCTGGGGCAAGGAAATGGCTTCATTTTACTCATTTCTTAACCTTAATCTACTATTTATGTGAACGTGGAAAAACGCTCCGAAGGAATTCTTAACATAGATTGGCTATGACATTTGATTTATGTCATTTTAGGAAAGGATTTTTTGGGGCCTCATTTTGCAGACTTTATGCAGTTACTATTTCTATTGAAATAACTGAAAATTCTCTATACCTAAAATATTATTATGTTACCAAGAATATTATGTGTTAATACATATACTGAACACATCCACAAGTTGGGGGACATGAGAGACACATTCCTTGATATTTGTCTCATCTTTCTATATATTTAGGTTTACTTTTCATGCCTTTTTTCTGCCTTTATTTCTCCTTTTCTACATAAAAATCTATAGAGTAACAAAAATATAGTGAGGTTTCTCTTGGGATACTGTAGATCTCTGAAGCAAGTTGGAATAATAGCTCTTTTTCTTGATTGGTCTCCTGTTCCTAGTCACACCATTTCAAACTACATTGGAAACTTCAGCCATTCAGGACATGATTCCAATAATCGAGTGTTGCTATTTAGTTGAGCCGAATGACACAGGTTCCCTGGATCAAAGGAATCTGTGATATATGCAGAAGATAGCCATGTTATTATTTCTATCTGGGAGGAGCAGCAAGCTGGAGGTTTTGAGGGGGTGGCAAAGCTGTGGACAGTGGCCCATGATGGTCATGTGTTTTAAGTGACAGGATTCTGTAATAGTCTCAGCTTGTTTCTAGGCAGTGTTATGAAAAATTGTGTGGTGTTGGATTCCACTTTATAATAACTTTGTTTTAAATAGATCCTTTTTGAACTGACTCTCAAAACATCATGCAAGGGAGATATAGTTTGACCTCCTTCCACATCTCCCTATTGGTATTTTTTGATATCAGTCTCTTTTCTGTTCTAGGTTTATTTGAGTCTCAGCACAAATGAAATTAGAAATCCCAAGACATAATTCTGTCTTTTATGCGTTTCCTCTCTGAGTCTGCCTTGCCAACCTGCAGTCATTCCAGTTGCATCTTCCCTAGGCTTTGGGTCATTGTAATGTATTAAAGAGAGAGAGAGAGAGAGAGAGAGAGAGAGAGAGAGAGAGAGAGAGAGAGAGAACGAACATCTATAGCAATACCCACCAAATTTTAAGAGAATTTAGTGTGCTCCTCCTTTACAACCATTGAATATCACCTACTGTGAGGAAGTTTTTCTTTTTATGTATCATTTTAGAAAACATACCTGTGTGAGGGCCTTAAAGGTCTCAGTGTACACTGGCTCCAGGGATACCCCACTTGTTTCTGCAGCATGTTGAATTTGGTGCAGCCACTTCCGTCTGGCACTGTTCCTCAGACCTTCAAAATGGCTTCTTTCTAAGCTGGTCATCAGAAACTCCACCAGGCTTTCCAGAACCTGGTCTTCGTTGCCCCTGAGTTCAGATACAACCAATTCTATGTATTTCTGAAACTGTTTTGAAGACAACCTCACTTCTTGACCAGGGTGTGGCTTTGGAAATTGGATGTGTAATTTAGCTAAAAGACATAAACACAAAACCCAAGGACTAATCAAAAGCTCATTTACCCGTGGAAGAAATTTTCATTCTCCTCTTACAACAAACTGAAGTCTCTTGACAACTGTCGCCCCTTCCCCCAATGGAAAATCAGGTGTATTAAAGGCATCTAAGCCCAACAAAACATGTTACAGTGAATTCCTATGATAAACTCAAGATGAGTCCTATGTCATCTTTCCTGTTTTTGTTTTGTTTATTTAATTCTACCACTTAGTCAGGCAAAATTCCAGGGTCAACTTTCATTCCACCCTACCTTTTCCCATCCATTTCCAATAGACTACTTAACTCTCTCCTGTTAGTCATGGACAAGGTATCGTCCTTACCATTCCTGTTTCCATAATACTAAACCAGTATTAATCACTTTATAAGTGGATTATCAATGGTAAGGCTCAATACATATTTATGAAATTAAATTAAAACACAACTTGAATTATGCAATTTCTTGGTTCAAAGTATATTTGGATCCAGTCCATTTTCCAAGAATATTTGCCCATAATACCGTATAGGAATTATTTATTTCAGTATCCCCATTCTATTCATGATCCCTGACTATGCCTTGCACACTTCTGCACCCACATCTATCTTTTATTTTTTTAGCATACAATCACGATCTACTACCAAACCGAAACATTACTAATAACTTACATCTTCTTTTATGCCCTTGCCATTGTTCCACTCCCTGCCTATCCACATCCCCGCACTAGTATTCTGAAATTTTGCTCTTGCTTTATCTTTTCCTTCCTTTTCTTTTCCCAATAGTGTTATTGTGTGTGTGTGTGTGTGTGTGTGTGTACACACACACACATGTGTACTTCTAACCACATGTGGTTTCATTTTATCTTTTTGTATACTTTAGAAAAAAGACATCATACTATATGTACTTTTCTGGGGCTTGCTTTTTAATTCAACATTATGCTACCATATACATCTATGTTGTTCCTGTGGCTGTGACGTACTCATTTTCCCTATTATATAATATGTCATTTTGTAAGTATACCATCATCGATTTATTTATTCTATCAATGGGCATTTAGGTTGTCTCTAATATTTTGCTCTTATGAACAGTGCTATGAGCATTTTTGTACATGTCTCTTGGTGCTCATGTGTCAGTTTATTTGATATTTATTGTAAATTAGTAAGTCATAGAGTATGGACCTTTCCTCTTTAAAATTCAAGAAGGCTTCCACCTGAAAGATAATAACATTCATACTATATTAATTATTTTACAGTTAACAAATACTGCCTCTTTTAGTCATCTTATTATATGATTTTTGCTCTTTAGCATCCACTCATCTTTCTCCTAGTAATTGTATCCCAGATTTTGCTTTAGGGAAACTACTCCACTCCAACCTCAGGTCATATGTTTGAGTGAGGTTCCACTTGGTAGAGGTCCTAGAGATGGAGCATGCGTCTCAGCTCTAAGCCAGTCAGGACATCATATTCCCCTCGCCAGAGTAGTTGGGTTAGTCCAGACTAATGCCAGACTCTTTACTTTAATTATTAGGAAGAGGACATTTTCCTTCTTATTCTCACTTAATTTGAATAAACCTGTTGGGATGTGAGATTGAACCTGATCGCCATGAGGGGAAAGAGTGTGTGAAAGTGGAGTCAACACATAGAAGAGAACAGGACCAGACTGAAAGAGAGAGAAAGAGAAAGAAGCAGGTACCTGTCCTGAAGTCATTATTTGAACTCCCAAATCTGGTGTGTCCTGAACTAGCCTTGGACTTTTCATCACATGAACCACTAACGTCCATTTTTGCTAAACCACTTTGTTAAGAAAAAAAAGACTGTTAGCATATATTGAACTCTAAGTAATGATATGCATGCTGAAGTATTTAGGGAGGAATATATGGATGTCTGTAATTTATGTGTAATGCATCAAAAATAAGAAGTAGATGGAAGGACAGAAAGATGGAGAGATGAATAGATAGATAATAAAAAAGTTTAGTAAAATGTTAATGATAGAAATCCAGGTAGTAGATATATAGATACTCACAAAATTCTTCCAGCTTTGCTGTATGTTTTAAATTTTTCATAATAAAATATTAGAGGGGAGAGGAGGGCATAGACAGTTTGAAAGGACTCCCATGGGTTAAATATAAAAATATATGAGTGTTATAATGATAGTGTTGGATTATAATTTACTGTATAAAATAGGAAAAACTGAATATATACTGTTATGAATGAATAAACAAAAAGTTTGACAAGAAATGGAATGTTTATATAGTTGCAAAACAGTTATTAATTACAAAGGAAGAGTAACTTTAAAATGGAGGAGCCTGACTAATACCATCTTCTCATGAGATTTCTGATAGCATTCAATGAGAAGAACGCAGCATCACTTATATGACATTCCTGCCAAAAATGAACAACCTAACTGTAATCATGAGGAAATACTAGACAAACTTAAAAGAAGTAAAAATTACAAACAAATCTGCCTGCATTCTGAATAAATGGCAAGGCATAGAAAGCAAGGAAAGACTGCGGAGTTTCTTAAAGATTCCTTGTTCCAGGATGAAGAAACAGTAATAGTTTTACACTAACCACTTGTCCAGATTTCAGTTTCTTTAAGGAACACTGAGTATTTCAATGAGACTTTCTAAATAAATGTGAGAATTTGGTGACAGAATGACTCACCAAAATGTTATAATTTTAAGAGAGTTAAATGCCCTACTTAAATAGCAATGTATATATTAAAGCAAATTTTATCATTTAATAGAAAACTAAAGGACATATCCAACAAATGTTAATAGCTATTTCATGGGAAGTAATGGAGGATGATAATTTTTTCTCTTAAATTCTACAGTGTAGACAGGTCACATGTTCTACAGATTTTTATATATGATATTTCTGCTCAAAAGATTAGGTTATATTAGATGGGAATAAAAAGGGAAAATTACAGTGTAAAAGTTTCAAGTTGCCCTTTCCATATAGAAAACTTCCATTTTGAGGACACCAGCAGAAACATTTCTAGGAATTTCTAATTCTGTGACATTATCCTATTTAAACCCCAATTTTTAATCTTGGACACAGAATTGTATAAGAAGGGCAGAGAAAAAACAAACAAATAAAAAAAGAGCTGTCTAAAGGTTTTCGAATCTGTTATTAGCTAATGTTTGAATTTTAAAATTTTTCCTTTTTTAAGAAACAAAATCTGCCTTTCAGCTTCCATATGACCATCAGCTCAGCATTTATCTCCACAGGCCTGGTGGCTACCAAGATGTGCTCAGAGAGAGTCGTTTTGTATGAGTCTACCCTTGGAGAGAGTAATTTGTTCTTCCTGCTTGCAGACATTTCCTTCTGGCAGCAGATTCTGTCTCCTCAGTACTTCATTTTTATTTGCTTGGCTTAACCCATTACATTTTTGCTTTCTACCTATCCCTACTGCTGTACTTCAATAATATATATTGGAACATCCTTATAACATTATCCTGGGGTTCCTTAAATTCCAGAATTCATAGTGTCTAACTCCTTCATTTTACAAATGAGGACACCTGGATCTACAGAGATTCAGTAATTTGCCTTTGCTCACATGACCATTTAGTGAAAGATCCAGTATCAGAACCTAGCACTCCTGACCATTGTGCAATGTTCTTTCCTCTGTAGAACATGGTTCTGTGTTAGGAAATTTGTCCATATTATAAAATCACCTCATTATGCCTTTCAAAACTTCATTAAGTAAATCCTTTTTGGTTGCAGTTTAAGAAAGTAGTGTAGTGTGATGTAAAGTTTGCAAAATTAAAAACACATGACAATGGATAAACTTAGGGCAGAAGAATGTTAATCCTAATCATTTCTTCTGCTGTGCACTATATACTTCAAGAGTTAGAAATCTGGTATGCCAAAGTCACTAGACAAATCCTTAAACCCAGGGAAGAGTATAACCATTTCTACTGGGATCTAATCAAATGAAGGAGGGAATTATACTAGAATAAGAATTTTAGCAGCTCTTGATTGGGAAGAATTGATCAGAAGAGAAAAGTATAATATAGAAGAGGAAAGTCATTTAGAAGAATAAGTTGAATTAGTAAATTCAGGAGAAACTTGCAAGCCAGCCAGATTTGTGAAGTGAATCAGACCTTGTCAAGGCAGAGAGATACAACAAAAAGAGAAAATAAGCAGAACTGTGGAATGGTTTGGATTTTTTTCTTTTAACCCCAAGACTGAGCGTACTCAAGTACACAGAAGGAATCTAACCATTAGAGCTAACGTCTTGGGCAAAACACTCTACAACATATTCCACTCCTGATTGCTCTGACACTTTCTACTTTCTCACCAGCCAGGCACAAGGGTTCCAATCTCTCCGCATCCTTGCCAACAATTGTTATTTTCCATTAAAATTTAATTATTTCAATTTTTAAATGCCATACTATGCAAGCAACAAAAGCAAAAATAAGTGACACAATATCAAACTAAAAAGGTTCTGTACAGCAAAAGAAACAATCAATAAAACGAAAAGACAACCTACAGAACAGGAGAAAATATTTTCAAATCATCTACACTAATAAAAGAGAAAGATGCAAATTGACCATACCTTCGCAACACCCACCAGCCAATCAGGAGTGAGTATGCAAATCAACCCAACAAAGATGGTGGGTTAATTTGCATACGCAGGTGCTGAGTGGCTGGGGGCAGGGCAGGACAACAACGCAGGTGTTCCGCACTACCCCAGCCACTCCAGGCCTCTGGGCAGCGTGGAAAGGTGGAAAGGCGGCTCCGGGCCAGAACAAAGGCAGAAAGGCAGTTCCGGGCTGGAGAAAGGCAGTTCCGGGCTGGAGCGAAGGTGGCGAAGATGGTGCTGGCAGCCAGGGGAAGTAAGGCCCATTCTTGCACGAATCTTCGTGCATCGGGCCTCTAGTATATCTAGTAAGGGGTTTAATATCCAAAAATATATAAGGAATGTGTACAACTCAATAGCAAAAAAAAAAAAAATCTGATTAAAAATGGGCCGGAGAACGAAATAGACATTTTTCCAAAGACTTGAAAATGACCAAATGGTGATTAAAAGATATTCCATATCACTAATCAGGGAAATGCAAATCAAAACCACAATGAGATATCACCTCAGATCTGTTCAAACAGCCATCATATAAAAGACAAGTTTTGGTGAAGTTGTGGAGGAAAGGGAACCCTTTTGCACTGTTGATAGTAATGTAAATTGGTATAGTCACTATGGAAAACAGATTGAGGTTTCTAAAAAAATAAAAATAGAAGTACCCATATGATCCAGTAATTCCACTTCTGGGTATATATCCAAAATCACTATTTCAAAGAAATATCTGTGCTTCCATGTTAACTACATAATTATTCACAATAGTCAAGACATGGAAACAGCCCAAGTATCTATCAACAGATGAATGGATAAAGAAGATGCCATGTTACTATTTACAACAACATGGCTGGATTGTGAAGGCGTTATATTAAGTGAAATAAGTCAGACAGAGAAAGACAAATACTGTACAGTCTCACTTATATGTGGAATTTTAAAAAGGCAAACTCATGAAAACAGAGTGTATAATGGTGGTTGCCAGGAGCTAGGGGTAGGGAAAATGGAGAGATGTTGGTCAAAGGGTACAAAATCCTATATAATAAAAAGCTAATATGCAAATTGTCTCCTTGGGCGTTCGACCGACCGGGAGTTTGACCACTTGCTATGATGTGTGCTGACCACCAGGGGGTGTCAAGAAACAAAGGAAGGCCCTTGCCAGCAGCCAGCAGCTGGGGGAAGGAAGGCCCTGATTGGTCCTGATCGTCGGCCAGGCCTAAGGACCCTACCTATGCACGAATTTTGTGCACCAGGCCCCTAGTTTCATTATAAGATGAATAGATTCTGGGGATCTAATGTGCAGCATAGTGACTATAGTTAACAATACTGTATTATACACTTGAAAGTTGCTAAGATCTTAAATGTTCTCACAATGAAAAAGATAGTAATTATGGGAGGCGATGGAGGTGTTAATTAATACTACCATGGGAATAATTTCACAATATATAAGTATATCAAATCAACATGTTGTACATCTTAAATTTATACAGTGTTATAAGTCAGTTATATCTTAATAAACCTGAGCAATTTGTCGCCATACTAGCAAGTGTGAAGGTGATATCTCATGGTTTTAGAACAATCAGTGTTTAACTGTATGTATGTCATACTACTGGGAAACTTGAAACCAAGTTGTTAGTCTAAATAAGAAAATTATTATACTTTTACCTGTCTTCATAGCTTCTTTTTCCATTCCCTCCTTGTATGTATACAAGAGTTCATCAACTTCATTCAGATCTAGGAAGCCTGAGCCATCACTGTCCCACAACTGAAAGAGGGCTTCTAGGAGAAGTCCCCGTCGAATTTGGGAAGTGTTTTGTATAGCCTAGGATACAAACCAGATGACAAAGCACAGAAGACTTGCTGTTTATTCTACTAACTGGCATCCTATGTTTATTCCCCCAAAAGTGCAGCACTTTTTTATAAAAACAGCTTTACTTTGGGACTAAGCATGATATTAATGGGAAAATGAATCATTTAATTTTAATCCTCTCACTACCAGTTCTCTGTTTCTGCATTGGATTAAAACACATTAATATAGAAAGAAGACGACTACACTCCTTAAGAATCTTTAATTCATTCCTTTCCACTCCCTCGCTGCTTGTTCAGGAATATGATAAACACATGGGGTACTCTGCCTGGCTTCTTGGTGGCATTTGTTTTGTAGTGAAGGGGGATAAATGGCAGTGTTCAAACATTAAAAAATGACTGTGTTCAAAAATATTTTTTGTATTTAACATTGACCTAACTTGGCATTAGAGATTTAGAGATAAGTTA